CACAGCTCTGCTAGCAGCCTATAGGGCCTTGATTTATACCTTACTTAGATCCTCGCGTGCCAAAATTACAGACATGAACCACTATACTTGGTGGTGGTGGTGGTGACACTCTTTTTTCCTTTTTGTGTGTGCCAGTACTGGGGTTTGAACTCAGGGTCTGGGTGCTGTCTCAGCTTTTCACTCAAGGTTTTAGGCTCTACCACTCGAACCACAGCTCCACATTAGGTTTGTTGTTGTTGTTATTGCCAGTCCTGGGGCTTGAACTCAGGGTCTGAGCACTGTCCCTGAGCTTCTTTCACTCAAGGGTAGCACTCTACCACTTGAGCCACAGTGCCACTTGTGGCTCTTTCTGTGTATGTGATACTGAGGGATCAAACCCAGGGCCTCATGCATGCTAGGCAAGCACTCTACCACTAAACCACAGCCCCAGGCCCACTTTAGGTTTTTTTTTTTTTTTTTTGATGGTTAATTGAAGGTACGTCGCACAGCCTTTCCTACCCAGGCTGACTTCAAATGCAATCCTCAGATCTCAGCCTCCTGATCTCAGCTAGTATTATGAAGCCGAGTCACTCATGCCTACCTGACATTTACTTTCGAGGGACTATGTGGTATAGTCAAGCCTTTGGAGCAGACGGCTACAGTGCCACTCAATGCCACATGGCTTTCATCAAGTCCTTAATATCTCTGGGTCTCGGTTTCCCCATCTGAGAAGTGGAGAGAAATAAATGCTTCCTAGGGTCCTTGTGAAATGAAGTAGGTTTCTCAAGGTGAGTGTGCATTTCTATGAGAGTAAAGTCTGGCGTGCAATGGCTAAAAGAAAATAGTAGAGGCTGGCTGCTTGGCTTAGCAGTAGAGCACTTTCTAGATAAAGTGCAAAGCCTTGAATTCAATCCCAGTACTGCCACAGATGATAATAATAACAATAGGACAGGGTTGAGGCTACCTGTGAAGGTAACACTGCATGTTGTTTAGTAAAGTATCTAACTGCTCCTTGATAAACTGCTTCCTGTGAACCCATCCTAATTGGGGGTGTCTGCACTGGCCCCATATGACCTCTTTATTCAGATAAAAAAGTAAAAGTGATTTATGGGGCTTATGAATCCAAAAGAAGACTTAGAATCCAGAGATCCCCAGAGCTTTGGTTCCTAAGTTACTGAGTCCTCCTACGCCTCCATTTCTTCAGCAGTAAAACAATAAGCTAGTAGAGGGAAAGGTTGTGACTTTTGCCATGTCTGTGCTTTTGGACCTGCTTTTTTAAAAGAACAGCAGCTGCATTGGTAAAAACTGGCCACCAGGGGGCAGGGTTGCTGTATCCAAGGTCCCAACCTGTGTAAATTTCAACCTTTTTTCAGGGGGGGGGGGGACAGGGTATGATTGTCTAATTAGGTTGGAAAAATTCAAACACAAAATAGTGTAATGAATCTTTTGTGCCCATCACTAGTTTTAAACGATTATCACCATTTTGCCAACTTTCCTCTTTGTTTTTATTGCTGTTTGTGTTTTATTGTTGTTTTTGCCAGTAGTGGGGCTTGAACTCGGGGCATGGGCGCTGTCCCAGAGCTTTTTCTGCCCAAGGCTAGCACTCCACTTTGAGCCACAGCACCACTTCCTGTTTTGGAGTGTTAATTGGAGGTAAGAGTTTCATGGATTTTTCCTGCCCAGCTGGCTTTGAACCAGGATCCTCAGATCTCAGCCTCCTGAGTGGATAGGGTTACAGGTGTGCCCAGTTGTTTTTGGAGGATTACCAGTGCCCAGCTGTTTGTGGAGTATTTTAAAGCCAGTCCTAGCCTCATCTCACTCCATCCATGATACATCAGTGCACTGTTCCAGATGAAAAAGGCTTTTCTCTAAGTACTATGTCCCCATTGCACCTAACTAGAAAGTACAGTAATTCCTCAGTTCAATCTATCAGTCTATGTTCTCCTTTCCCCAGTCTTACCAAAGTCATCTCTTAACAGCTGGATCATTTGATGAGACACAGAATTTACTCCGTGTTTACTATTGATTCAAGCAGCATATTATTAGATATGTGAGAAGTTCCCAGTTTTTTGTTTTTTTTCTGATCCCGGGGCCTGAACTCAGGGCCTGAAGACTGTTCCTGAGCTTCATTGTGCTCAAGGCTAGCGCTCTACCACTTGTGCCATAGTGCCACTTCTGGCTAAGAGTCTCATGAACCAAGATCCTCAGATCTCTGGCCTCTGGAGTAGCTAGGATTACAGGCATGAGCCACGGTGCCCAGCTTTCTGCTACTTCTTAATATTATAATGAACAACCTCATACACATGTTTCTGTACTTCCTAGAAGTCCAGGATTTGATCTAGGGTTCCTGGGTGAAAGTAAATACTTTTTTTTGGGGGAGTCCAGTCGTGGGGCCTGAAATCTGGGCCTGGGTGCTGTCCCTCAGCTCAAGGGTAGTGCTCTACCATTTGAGTCACAGTGCCACTTCCAGTTTTTTTTCTTTTTTGCTTATGTGGTGCTGAGGAATCGAACCCAGGGCCTCATGCATGCAAGGCAAGCGCTCTACCACTGAGCCACCTTCCCAGCCCCTGCAAGTAAATTCTTATGTAAGGTGGCTAGATCTTGCCAAATTTCCTTGTTAATTTACATCATTGTGCCTCTCTACTAGCACTAAAGGAGGCTGCAGAGTAAATCACAAGCAAGGCTCCTGTGTCCAGAAGGGGGCAGCTTTACTCTGAAGTTAGTGAAGCTTAGAGCCCTCACTTGGCTGGGACCTTTTCCCAGCCCCTTCCCAACCCCTTCCCAGCCCCACAATGTACTCACAGAGCCAGTATGTAACCTTTATCCTCAACATCCCAAATTACTTAATCTTTAGGTCCCACAATAATATCTACCAAATAGATTATGGACCCAGCCTATCTTGGGGTGGAGGGTATGGACTTCAATCTCAACTTTTTTTTTTAAGGTAGCTTCATTCCTATATACTTCAGACGGCCTCAGACTCAAGATCCTCCTGCCTCAGTTTCCCAAGTGCTAGGATTTCAGGCGAGTACCCTGAAGTTTTTGGAGTTTTATTTTAGAAATTGGGGGGGGGGTGTCGGAAGGAGTGGAGTGGGTGGATATTCAAGACCTACACTTTTGGGTCAAATAATGCTGAGGTCAGCTTCCTCCCTTGTAAAAACGGGATTCGGTTAGGATTCAGTGAGATCATTTATCTCCAGTCCCAGAATCGGGAGAAGGTCCATAAATAGAAGACAGAAAGGAAAATGACTGATCCTGGAGCGCAGTGTCACAGGCTTTCTGTACCCTGTACCTCATTACCAAACGGTAGGTGCAGAATAATCAGGGGAGGAATAGTCGTTTCTGGCAGACGCTTACTGATTTGTAGCGCTAACTGGACGGCCGACTGGTCTGGGTCTCTCCCTGAGTGACTGTCAACCCCGGGCTGTCTGTCAAGCGAGCAGCGCCCGGATCTGACTGACAGCCGAACGACTCCGGGGCCTGCGGCGCGCACTGATTGTCCCACCCGGACGACCATGGTCCTAGCTGTCAGCCCGGACCCACGCGGCTCGGACGGTGGCCCCTTCCCGCGCGCCCTCCGGCCGGGATCCCGACCCTCCTGCAGGCCCGCCAGGTGGGGGAGGCGCGGGCGCCGCAATCGGGTCCACCGCGCCCTCCCTCCCGCGCGGGGCCGGGCGCCCGGATCCCCGCGGTCAGGAACAATGAGGCTCCGGCTTCTTTAAGGGAGATACCACCGCGCCAGCGGGACAGGGGACGGCGCCTTCCCAGACGATCGAACCCAGCGCCGCGCCGCCGCCCCGGCAACCGCGCCGCCCGCCAAGACGGCTCAGTGACTCGAACAAAAGGTGCAGCTTCCCAGCCGGCGGGGCGCCCGCCAGGCCTCCCGGGTTCGGGCCGCGCTTCCTCGCGAGCCCGCAGCCGAGCTCCGCCACCCGCAGACGCCTCCGTTCCGCGCGGAAGATGCACCGGGCGTCCCGCCCCAGCGACCTCCGCACGCCAGCCCGCCGCTCGGTAGGTCGGAAGAGGGCGGGAAGGGCAGGCGAGGCCGCGGCTGCGCGCGCACCAGGCCCAAGCCCAAGCCCAGGCCTGCCGCCGCAGAGCCTCTCGGGCACCCCGGGCCCGGCGCACCTGTTGCGGCTCGGGGGGGAGGGGGTGACCGAGCCCCAGCTGGACCGGTCACCCCTGCGGGGAGGGACTCCAGTGGTAAGCTCCGGGGCGCGCACACCTCGAGCGACTCCCGGGCTCCTGCAGAGCCGCGAAGCTAAAGCGCCGAGCAAAGCTTCGGGCACGCGCGGTGGGCGGGGCTACGGAAAGCCGTTGTGGGCGTGGCCTGCGTGAGGGGGTGTGTCCGCGCACCACGGGGGCGCGCGCCGGCCTCTGACTGGAGGCGGCGGCGGCCGAGGCGCGAGCTACACGATAATGGCGGCCTGCAGAGCCCATGAGAGGGAGAAGCGGCGGCGGCTGCCCTGAGGTAAATCTGGCTCTTCCGCGTGGCACAGACGCCCTGCTGCAGAGCCGACCGGCCTGCACGTCCCTCCGTCCCCACCAGGCCTGTCACAGACCTGTCAACGGAATCATTCCGGGGAAGGCCCGGAGCTCCTCGAGCCTCCGGACCGGGCTGCGGCCTCCGCTCCCGCTCGGGACACTCCCCAGGTCCGGCCCTCCGCCCGCAGCCCCGAGGAGCTGAGGTCGTGGCGGGACTCCGGGAGGCTCCCCCACCCCCACCCCCCGACCCAAGGTTCGTCTGGCCGCAGGCGGGAGCGAGCTGGTCGGCGGATCGCCGGACGAGCCAGCGCGGCCCGAGCCGCCGCGGCGGGCAGCGCCGCTGTCCCCGGCACCGGCCGGTGTGCGCTCCGGCCGACCGGTGTCCGCGCTGGGCCAGCACTGCGGGCAGCAGCGCCCCGGGGCAATGCACCTGAATGTACACCTTGCATCGCCCGTGCTGAGATCAGACCCGGATCCCGAGGACTTGAAAGCCAGCCATCCTCCTTCCTTATTCTGGAAGGTGCCCCTTCCTGTAGGAACCGGAGGTGGTGGGACAGGCGAAGAGGCTGTGACCGGAGTACTTGGCAATAAATACACGGTAGCTGGCGTTGCACGTCTAGCAGGACAGGTTGCTGCTCTGATTTTGTAGCAGGAAGTCAGACACTAGGAAGCACTGTAGGAATTTGAAGGGGTAAGCGACCAATTAGAGGAAGTGGGACCTTAACCTTCAGCAATCTCTGAAAAGAGTCGTTTTTCGTTAGCGTGTCCTGTGCACCTAGCAGTTCCCAGTATCTCAAGCTCTAAGACTCATTCACTTTTTTGTTTTCCTGATTGTACAGTCAGTATAAATACTGTACAGTCTCCAGTCACTTGTCTTGCCCATGGCTACAGTGTTCAAATGAGAATCTGGGAAGTAGGAAAGAACCCTTAGATTCTGCATTCAACACTTGGACATTTCTGTGGAGATCCTATGTTTGTGCCTTTAAATGATGTGTTATGTCCAATGCCAAAGAACTTTGTCAGACTTCCCCTTGATGTGTAGGATGGCTTTCTGAACAAAATGACCTAGAACTAAGTAGCTATTGTTAAACAACAACAAAAAGGTGCCTGTATTCTAAATAACTTACTTTTAAAGGAACAGTTCTGCTAGGCACCTGTGGCTCACATTTATAATCCTAGCTAATACTAAGAAGGCTGAGATCCAGAGGATCATGGTTCAAAGTCAGATGGAGCAGAACAGTCAGCAATACTTCATCTCCGAACTAACCAGAAAAAAAACAGGGCTGGAAGTGTGACTCAAGTGATAGTACACCAGCCATGAGGAAGAAAACCAAGGCTTGTGGCCCTGAGTTCAAATCCTGGTACCCACAGAAAAGAGGGAACAAGGGAGGGCAGTTCTCCACAAACTTATTTGCAAAAAATAAAGAAGTAGGTAGGGCTGGGAAGGTGGCTCAGTGATAGAGTGCTTGCCTTAGATGCATGAGGCCCTGGGTTCGATTCCTCAGCACCACATAAGCAGGAAAGGCCAGAATTGGCGCTGTGGCTCAAATGATAGAGCACTAGCCTTGAGCTGAAGAACTGAGGAACAGTGCCCAAACCCAGAGTTCAGGCCCCACGACCAACAAAATAAATAAATAATAAAGAAGTAACATAAGGAACAAATTCTGACCATGAATGACTTGGCCATTGACTTTTTTTCAGGGTGAGGGAGGAGGGAATGGAGTGGGAATTATTCTTGCTATATAGCCCAGGCTGGCCTCACTCATCCTCCTAACTCTACTTCCTGAGTGCTGAGATTACAGATGTGCATCACTGCACCCAACTCTATTTGTGTGTGTGCTTGGGTGCATGTGCTCACTGTTCCTGGAACTTGAACTCAGGGCCTGGCCACCATCTCTGAATGTTTGTGCTCAAGGCTGTCATTTTACCACTTGAGCCACAGTTCCACTTCAGCTTTTTTTCTGGTTACTTGGAAATAAGAGTTTCATGGACTTTCCTGCCTGGGCTGGCTTTGAACCTCAGTCAGATCTCAGCCTCCTGAGTAGCTAGGATTACAGTGCCTGGCTCCATTTGCTTTTAAATAATACAACCAAATATTTTCAGTTCAATGAATGATATGGTTTACTTTTTATAAACATATACCATTCAGATATAAGGAGTGTTTTTGGTTTTAGAGGTTTTGTTGTTGTTGTTTTTCCTTCTGTTTTATGACTTTATATGTGTATGCTGGCCTTAAAGAGAAACTAGAATATTACTTCTTTATTGTTAGTCTTTTTGAAATCAGTAAATACAATTGCTGAATTTGGGGCTTTATTTTATTTATTTATTTTTTGTTGTTGTTGGTTGTGGGGCTTGAACTCTGGGCTTGAGCACTGTCCCTTGGCTCTTCAGCTCAAGGTTAACGCTCTACCACTTGAGCCACAGTGCCATTTCCAGTTTTCTGGTGGTTTATTGGAGATAAGAGTTTCACAGATTTTCCTGCCTGGGCTGGCTTTGAACCGTGATCCTCAGATCTCAGCCTCCTGAGTAGCTAGGATTACAGGCGTGAGCCACCAGCGCCTGGCTTATTTTTTTAACAGTAATATTTTCTGTTAGTTCATATAAGAAACAGTCTAGTGGTTTAAGTCATGGCTATCTGGGCCAGATTTCCCGGTTTCAAATCCCAAGTCCATTGGTTACTAGCTGTTTGACTGGATTTTCTATTTACCCACTCTGTGCTTTCATTTCCTCATCTATTAAAATGATATAAAACTACCTATCTAATAAGATTATTGTGAGGATTGAGTTTAATAAAAAAGTACTTGAAACAGTTGTTGATGCATGGTAAGTCCTAAATGTTATCTTTATTATTATTCAAGTTAGATTTGCTCAAGTTATAACAAATATCCTTCACACACTGAAATAAGACAGGTAACTAATGCATACATAAAGAGAAATACAAGCCAGTAGCTATACCTAATTTCAACAGAGCATTTACTTTGTTGATTTTTTCCAGAAACGTCGACCTTGAAGATGGTGAGTAGCCAGCCAAAGTACGATCTAATACGGGAGGTAGGCCGAGGTAGTTACGGTGTTGTGTATGAAGCAGTCATCAGAAAGACCTCTGCCCGGGTGGCAGTAAAGAAAATCCGATGCCACGCCCCTGAAAACGTTGAACTGGCCCTTCGAGAGTTCTGGGCACTAAGTAGTATCAAGAGCCAGCATCCAAACGTGATTCACTTGGAGGAGTGCGTCCTGCAGAAAGACGGAATGGTACAAAAGATGTCCCATGGCTCTAATTCTTCCCTTTACTTACAGGTAAGTGTCTCTGAGTGGGAAAAAGAATGGTTTGAACCTAACATTTGTCAGCAAGAAGAGGAATGAAAGGGTCAGGTGAACTTCTCCCCTTGAATGCAGGTATTGACTGGCTATAGTAGTACTTACCAATGTTTCAAATATGCAGGAGGTCAGTCTAGGCTACCTAGTGAATTCAAGCCAATCTAGGCTGCCTAGAAAGACTTTGTCTCAACACAATCCATGAAACACCTGAATAAATAATTACATGCAAATATTTTATAGTTAGGAATAGATAGAAGTCTGTCAAGAACAGAGTAGATGTATCTCTAGCCCCCAGGAAACCCAAAGTGGCACTGTGGCTCAAAGTAATAGAGCCTAGTGTGGAGTTAAAAAGCTCATAGACACCGCCTAGGCCGTGAGTTCAAGACCCACAACCAATAACAAAGAAAAAAGAGAGAGGTTTTATTTAAGCTTGTGATACACATACCAAAACTGACAGAAGTCACTTGTTATGCCATAGTACTTGATAGTCTGCACAAGAACAGGTATTAAAGGGTAAGACTGGGCTGGGAAGGTGGCTCAGTGGTAGAGCGCTTGCCTTGCATGCTCGAGGCCCTAGATTCGATTCCTCAGCACCACATAAGCAAAAAAAGAAAAGAAGCCGGAAGTGGTGCTCTGGCTCAAGTGGTAGAGCGCTAGCTTTGAGCTGAAGAGCTGAGGGACAGCGCCCAGGCCAGAGTTCAGGCCCCATGACCGGACCCAAAAAAATTAAAAAAGGGTAAGACTGAAGACTTGAGCAAAGGAAAAGCTCTATAATCAGTAGCAGGGCCCATTGATAACTGGACATGTCTTTTATATATCACTACTTAACTATAAACTTAGCCAGGCATATAAACAGAGCATACCTGTAAACTAGCTCTGGGCAGGATGAGGTAGGAAGAGCATGAGTTTGAGGCTAGCCTGAGTTAATGAGACCCATACTCAAAAAAAAAAACCAAAACCCTATAAGCCTTAGGTGTTTTAGAGTTAAAAGTTTCTTTTGGTCTTTTTTTTTTTTTGTCGGTCATGGGGCTTGAATTCTGGGCCTGGGTGCTGTCCCTCAGCTCTTCAGCTCAAGGTTAGTGCTCTACCACTTGAGCTACAGCACCACTTCTGGTTTTCTGGTGGTTTATTGGAGATAGGAGTCTCATGGTCTCTACTGCCCGGGCTGGCTTTGAACCGCGATCCTCAGATCTCAGCCTCCTGAGTAGCTAGGATTACAGGCGTGAGCCACCGGCGCCCGGCCTCTTTTGGTTTTTGTTTGTTTTTGCCAGTCCTGGGGCCTGAACCCAGGGCCTGGGTGCTGTCCCTGAGCTTCTTTTTTGCTCAAGGCTAGCACTCTACCACTTGAGCCACAGCACCACTTCTGGCTTTTTCTGTTTATGTGGTACTAAGGAATCGAACCCAGGGCTTCATGCATGCTAGTCTAGCACTCTACCACTAAGCCACATTCCCAGCCCTAGAGTGATATGTTTTTTTATCCATGCTATTCCAGTTAATTTTTGTGAAGCATGTTCTTTTGTACCTGAAACATTCCCCTCCACATGCAGATATTGGCATTTGAACCCAGGACCTTGGTTCATGTTAGGCAACCTCTCTGCCACTTGAGCTACATCTCTACCCCACACCTGAATGTTCCATAGTACCAGCAGCTAACATTTGGGTTTCTACTTGGCTCTATATTCTCTCTATGAGAGCTTTAAAGGCAGTTGCTCAAAACAATGGTATGAGGAAAATATTATTATTATCTCCTTAACAAATAAAGAAATTGAGGCTTAAAATAATGAATTCATCCAGAGTCATCTAGCTAGCAAGTGGCAGGGTAGGAGTTCAATTGTCTTGACAGTTGAAGCTTGTGGTTTGTGGTGTTCAGGAAAATCTGTGAAACTTTTACTTCCAGTTAATCACCAAAAAGCTGGAAGTGAAGCTGTGACTTAAGTAATAGAGCACCAACCTTGAGCACAAAAGTTTAGGGACAGTACCTAGGCCCTGAGTTCAAGCCCTAGGACTGGGAAAGAGAGAGAGAGGGGGACAGACAGACGGAGGGAAGGAAGGAAGGAAAAAAAGGGAAGGAAGGAAGCAGGGAGGAGGAAGCAGCTCTGTACTCACTGAATAGAAAAGATACTTAAGACATAGCTAGTTAAAGGTCAGACAGAACTTGGTAAGGTCAGTTCTTAGAAAAGAAACAGCTTTGAGTGTATCAAAACTGAGAATTATCACTAGACTTTGCTGTTTAAAAGTCTGTTTTTGTTTGCTTGTTTTGGTGGTACTAGGATTTGAACTCTGGTCCTATGCTACTAAGGAGGCACTTTACCACTTCAGCCAAGCCCCCACCCTATAAATCTGTGTTTAAAACAACGAAGGCTTTCAAGTGAGGAACAACAGAGAACCATATTGATCTGTGTAACTTGAAATTTTTGAGGGTCATTATATAGCAAATTTAATTTGTCTTGCAATTTAGTACTCTGTACATTGAAGTTTTCTCATTTTTAATTTTTTATTATTAATAAGTTTTTTTATTGTGAAAATACTGTACAGAGGGGTTACAATTACATGAGCAAGGTAATGAGTACATTTCTGATCAAGCATTGTTGCCTCCTCCTTTTGTTTCCCCTTACCATCCCCGCCCTCCCATCTCGACCCCCACACCCCCCTGAAGTTTTCTCTTAACATAGTGAATATAAAATACAATTGTTTAGCTAGGTGCTGGTGTCTCATACCCGTAATCCTAGCTACTCAGGAGGCTGAGATCTGAAAATCTTATCTCCAGTTAACCACCAGAAAGCCCTGCATTCAAGCCCCACTACAAAAAAAAATGTTTTTTGCTTAGCCTCTATTCATTTTATATAAGCACTTTCTAAAAGTACTTCTTATATATGTTGTACTATTTTTTAAAAATTGAAAATATTCTCACCAAATTTCTCTTTTTCCTCTTGCCACCCCTCTTCCTCCCCCCACCCATCATGGGCTTGAACTCAGGACATGGGTGCTATCCTGAGCTTTTTTGCTCAAGGCTAGTGCTCTATTACTTTGAGCCATAGTTCCACTTCCAGTTTTCTGGTGGTAAATTGAGATAAGAGACTCACACTTTCCTGCCCCAGCTGGCTTTGAACTGTGATCCTCAGATCTCAGCAACCTGAATAGCTAGGATTACAGTGTGAGTCACCAGCAACTGACACAGCACAGCAGATAAAATAATGAGTTAAATGATGACTAGAGCTCAGTTCCATTGACATATAAAAATATAAGCCAGATTCATATGTTTGAAAATAAAACTTTTCAAGAAAATTTTATCTTTTAGCATATAGATTTGGTATGTATTCACTAGTGACAAAATGACATTGAGAAATGCTGAAGTTTAAAATAAAATGCAGGGGCTAGGAAGGTGGCTCAGTGGTAGAGTGCTTGCCTTCCATGCATGGGGCCCTGGGTTCGATTCCTCAGCACCACATAAGCAGAAAAAACTGGAAGTGGTGGCTCAAGTGGTAGAGCACTGGCCTTGAGCTGAAGAGCTGAGGGACGGCGCCCAGGCCCAGAGTTCAGGCCCCACGACCGACAAAAAAAAAAAAAAATTAAACTAAAAAAAAAGTTAAATGCACAAATGGTAGGTGGGGATGGGAGGGAAAAATGGGGAGAGAGCAAGGGAAGAGGTGACATTGTCCAAAAAGAAATGTACTCTGTACCTGACTTATGTAACTGTAACCTCTCTCTATATCACCTTTATAATAATAATTAAAAAATATTTACCAAGGGCTGGGAAGGTGGCTCAGTGGTAGAGTGTTGCCTCTCATGCATGAGGCCCTGGGTTCGATTCCTCAGGACCACATAAGCAGAAAAAAGCCGGAAGTGGCACTGTGGCTCAAGTGGTAGAACACTAGCCTTGAGCTGAAGAGCTGAGGGACAGCACCCAGACTTACCAAAACCCTACACATATGAAAGCATTGGCCAAATAAAATATTCATGGGATTTCCACTTAAAACTAAAGATGGGTTGGGAATGTGGCTTAGTGGTAGAGTGCTTACCTAGCATACATAAAGCCCTGGGTTTGATTCCTTAATATTACATAAACAGAAAAACTAGGAAGTGGCACTGTGGTTCAAGTGGTAGAGTGCTAGCCTTGAGCAAAAGAAGATCAGGGAGAGTGTGCAGGTCCTGAGTTCAAGCCCCAGAATTAGCAAAAACAAAAACTAATAACTTCGGTCTGGGGTTTACTTCAGTGTGGAACATTTACCTGGCATGTTTCAGGGCCCTGGGTTCAGATCCCAGCATCACAAAAACCAAGTAAGAGCCAGGCCCCAGTGGCTCACGCCTGTAATCCTAGCTACTCAGGAGGCTGAGATCTGAAGATCATGGTTCAAAGCCAGCCCAGGCAGAAGTCTGTGAGGCTCTCATCTCCAATAAACCACCAGAAAACTGGAAGTGGTGCTGTGGCTCAAGTGGTAGAGCTCTTGCCTTGAGCTGAAGAGCTGAGGAACAGTGCCTAGGCCCAGAGTTCAAGCCCCATGACTGACAAAAAATAAATAAGAGACTGACAACTTTTGAATCTATTTCTTTTTTTTTTAATAACTACATTGTGTAACTTGTGCAGATTATAATACTATTTTTTTCCTCTTAGCTTGTAGAGACTTCATTAAAAGGAGAAATTGCCTTTGATCCCAGAAGCGCCTATTATTTGTGGTTTGTGATGGATTTTTGTGATGGAGGAGACATGAACGAGTATCTGTTGTCCAGGAAACCCAATCGTAAAACTAACACTAGCTTCATGCTTCAACTGAGCAGTGCTCTGGCTTTCTTGCATAAAAACCAAATCATCCACCGAGACCTGAAGCCTGATAACATCCTGATTTCCCAAAGCAGGTTGGATACCAGTGACTTGGAACCTACACTGAAAGTGGCTGATTTTGGCCTAAGTAAGGTTTGTTCAGCGTCTGGACAGAACCCAGAAGAACCTGTCAGCGTAAACAAGTGTTTCCTTTCCACAGCATGTGGGACAGATTTCTACATGGCTCCAGAAGTATGGGAAGGACACTACACAGCAAAAGCTGACATCTTTGCTCTGGGGATTATCATCTGGGCAATGCTGGAAAGGATCACATTCATAGACACAGAGACAAAGAAAGAACTCTTGGGGAGTTATGTAAAACAAGGAACCGAAATTGTGCCTGTTGGAGAGGCACTTCTGGAAAATCCCAAAATGGAACTTCTCATTCCTGTGAAGAAAAAAACTATGAATGGGCGAATGAAACAACTGATTAAGGAAATGCTGGCTGCAAACCCTCAGGATCGTCCAGATGCTTTTGAGCTAGAACTCAGATTAGTACAGATTGCATTTAAAGATAGTAGCTGGGAAACGTGACATCGTATTTGCAAATGTCTTGGATGAAATGCTGCTTCTGATTTAAGTGATGCAACATTATATGGCAACAAGAACACAAAAAGCTAAACTCCACCTTCTTAGGGTTTAGACTTTTTGTGAGGTAGTTTTTTGGGGTTTTTTTCCCCCCTCATTTTCCTTAATCCAAGCAGGCCATCAGTGTGTTTTGAATGTGTATTACCAACGTGGATGTCTCTCTCTTTTTTTTTTTTTAATGACCATTAGAAATTTGGCAGGAAAATTCTCTTAAGAGCCAAGAAGAGAAGAGTCCAGGTTTCTGGAACTATGTCTCTTTTAAGTATTTTAGACATTCCTTGTCAGTATTAGGCATTTCCATGGAAGAAGAGGTTTGCGTGCTGGTAATGCAACCTTTGAAGCTTTGTAAAGGAAACATATATGTATATATTTATGTATATGTGAGTATGTGAATGTGTGCATTTTGCATTCCATATGAAGAAAATGCCACTTCAGTTTAAGTTATTTGATACAGGTTGGGGTTTGGGGGATTTGCTGGTCTAATCAGTGGTGAAAAAAATAAACAAAGCTTCCTTCCCTGCCCTTCCTTCTAAGGAAAGCATACTAAGGTTTTGGGTTTGGTTTGGTTTGTAATACTATATAGTTTTCTTCAAAGACATCATTTTGGAGGGTCTAAAATTACTGGTTAAACTTAATTGAAGTTAAGCAATTCAGAGCTGCCAGATCATGTTTGAGTTCTCCAGTGCCCTATAGCGTTGAATTAGTCATGGGTTCATATGGTAGCAGGTTAGCAAGGGTGTTGATGGTTCGTTCATACCTTCTTTAGGTAACTGGATGTTCATTTAATTAAACCACTGTGCTAGGACATGTTTGTACTTGAACATTTACAGTCTGATATAAATCTGAACATAAGATTCTTCTGTTTCTGAAAACATTGCTATAAATGAGCTATAATACTTGATATATTAATTTTTGGTTTTAGGGCTTTGTCTTAGCCCCAGCATAAAGCAGAAGAAACCAAATGAGCTCTACCTTCATTGCCTACCTTGGTATGGTCTTTCAGATCCTAGAATTCCTTTTGTTTTGGCACTGATGAATGCTCTTTTTCTGTCTCACTTGAGACAGTGATAATAGTTGTCTTAAATACTGGTCACTTTTTTCTAAAGTTGAGATGACACATATGCAGTTTAGCAAACGATAAAATACTGTGGCATCAACTACTTTTTAAGTACACAAGTTACTGATTCTATATAGTCACTTGCTATGGTCTGTGTCAGAAACCAGGAGACCATTATTCCTCTTAAAATTCATTTTTACTGTATGATTGTCTCCAATTTGTCTTCCTGTAATTGCAGGTTAAAAATCTAAGGAAAGAGTACTTTCCAAAACCAGATTACTAGCCTGTAATAGTAAACAGATTTTACATTGTATTTGTTAATCTTTATAAAGCACTATTTTTTTTTCTTCAGTGATTGGGATTTACCCAGAACTTTGCACATGTGAGACAAATACTCTTTTTTTTTTTTTTTTTTGGTCAGTCGTGGGGCTTGAACTCCGGGCCTGGGCACTATCCCTGAGCTCTTCAGCTCAAGACAAATATTCTGTAACACTGAGCTATATACACCCCAGCCCACTAGGATCTTCATTAAATATTACAATCTAAAAACCAAACCCAGTAGTATTAGCATACTGAATATTATTGATAGTTTGCATAGTCTCCTTAGCTTTTTTGAATTTCCATAACTTTTATGATATTACTATCATCATCTCCCCCCATTTAAAAATGTGTTCAAAGAGCTGGAGATGTAGCTCAGTTATAGTGTGCTTGCTTATCATGCACAAATTTTTGGTTTGATCCCCAACACTGAAAAAAAAAAAAAGTGAAATGGTGAGGTGATAATCAAAGGTAAAACATCACAAAAATCCAAGTATGTACATTTCTAAACTATATTAATACAGAAATTTTAAATTTGGATTAAGATTTTATTGAATTTAAGCCTCTTACAATACTTTCAAAGTATTAAAGATAAGAATTCTGGACTTGTAGCTTAGCTCAAGTGGTAAGAGCTTGAAGCCTTGAGTTCAGTCCTCAGGACCACAAAAAAGAAAAACAAGTTTTTGGACATTAGGGATGGAAATACACAGAAACTTCAGGTAATTGACCCTCTGGGTCATTTAGTTTAGCACAGATCTGACCAAGGGTATTTCATTACTGGAAATAAGAAAAAGTGTCATTCTAATGTCTTGTTAATAATGTGGCACTTGACCAGATGGACTGATAGGTGAAAGTATGCCAGTGCTTAATTTGCTCTTCATATATCTTATGTACTTGGAGTCACAGCTTTCCTTAAGTTTCTGATATTGCCTCCTTTAAAGGAATGAGTATAATTTATTTTTGTATTGTTTGTGGTGCTGGGGATCAAACCCAAGTCCTTTTATATGCTATTCAAGCACATTACACTGAGCTACATTCCCAAGATTGATTATTAATTCATTTTGAGAGCTTTTACCTGTGAAGTAAAATTCTTTAATTTTTCACAGGAAGTTTCTTCTAAAATTGCCCCAAGTCTTTGTATTCAGAAATAGCCTATAATACCAAGCAAAATGATATTATTTATGTATCTTTGTTCTCTCAGTCAAAGGTATTTTATTAAGTACCTAGTGTGTGCTCAGCACTAAAGGTGAGTTGATAAAATGACACAACAAAATGGCATTTAGCCATATGCCTTTCCATCAGGAGTAAGAAATAAAAGATGATTAGCAATATTTGGAAATTTTCAGATATTTGCTAGAGGAAAAATGTAGTCAAGAATTTGTGCATATTAGCCGGAAGTGGTGCTGTGGCTCAAGTGGTAGAGCACTAGCCTTGAGCTGAAGAGCTGAGGGACAGCGCCCAGGCCCAGAGTTCAGGCCCCACGACCGGACCCAAAAAGAAAAACAAAACAAAGAATCTGTGCATATTAGTGCCTTGCCCATAATAGGTACTCAGTAATCAAATATCCCTAATAGTCTCTTGCCATGTTTTGTAGTGTTTTATGAAATTTGTCTTAATTGGAAAAAAAGACCAAATACTTCAAATAAGCTTATAGGCAGCTGTGTCCCATTAAAATATAGGATTGTACAGTTAGTTTCTAGAATGTTCTTTTGCACTAGTTGTCACTTAGAAAGATGGGGTTCCTGTAGACTTTTGGTGCTAAGGGATACTTTGTCACTATGATGAAGTACGCGTTAAGTGTCAGATAAATAGCACACAAATAGTTCTTTCTGCTGGTCTGTTTTTTTCCCTTTGTTATTGTTGTTGTTTTTCATTGTAAAATGTTATCAATCAAACTATTGTAGCAGCTACAAAATAATTCACCAGCATGACAAAATAGTCAAAAAATAAGTCATCAGCACTTCAGAAATGAAAGCAACTTTTGAAATTTTCTTTTAAAATTGTCAAATATATTTTATGAAGAATTTATAAAAGGGGGGAATGATTGTAATTTATTGTTCATGACAGTTTTTGTTTTTAAATAAAATAAATTTCAACAACAACAAAAAGAAAAAGCCCTGAAAATTCTACATTGCTGCTTTGGTGGCTCTGTGGGTAGTTTGCTATAGTGCTTTCTTCAGTGAGCACAGAGTAGGTATGCAACTTGTAACAGGGAACTTCTCAGTTATGTCTATTAAACGATGATCAGGGGTAGACACTTTCGCTGAGGAAAAGGTGGTTGGATTACAGCACTTCCAATTATTATCAGTTCTCTGAAATTTTCATGCTCACTATCCTGCTTTATTTGCATGGTGTATAAGAGAAAGGTATATTCAATTTTTTTTTCATGTAGCTTTCTATTTTAGCTGAGCAGACTCAATGCCATATTTCATTTACTAACACAGGGCCGTGGTTTCTTTTGTGGCTAGCCCACTAGCTCTCCCTTCTTTTCTTTCCTTTGCTGTTTTTGTTTTGTGTGCCCGAGGCTAGTGTATTTGGTGGCTCACTGAGACAGCCAGGGTCTTTCCAGAGACAGGAAACACTGACTGCCTGTGACCTGCTGATAGGAAACCTGGCTGCTCTTGCAATAGCCTTCAGAGGCAAGAAGATTTTGCCTTCTACCCAGATGTAACGCTTTTAAATTGAATCCTAAGCTAAGTATTTCTAGTTATTAATACTTTTGTGACTCCTTGCAGTTTACAAAATACCCTGTCATGAATTTTACATCTATATCTGTCCTGTCTTTGACTTTTCCATAGAAGCTGATTTGTTGGCAAAGGAATTAACAGTAGCTAACAGTAGTTATTGAAGTAATGATAGTTTTATCCTAGGACAGAGTGTCAGTGCCTAATCTCTGACTCCAGGTTGAGTTTTCTCTTACAAGGAAGCTTTATCTTTCTCTCTTAAGTAAGCCTTCGTTTCAGAGTGTCCTAGGCTTTTTTTTTCCCCTTTAAATTTAAATGTTGCTTCTTTGATCAGCCAATCATAAACGTCCTCTAAAGTGCAGTGTAAACCAACTAGACAGTTGGTTTGTGGTTAGATAGCAACTCCTACTTGAGAAAACCTACAGAGGCCACACCTCCAGAAGGCAAAGTGCATCTTTTAAAGGCAGGACTTCCACCTTCCAAGTGAGCTCCCATTGGTTAAAAAAGAATTGTTGAAAACACGTTTTAAAGCCAGCGATTTTGACTTCACTGTTTCAGTTCCTGTTTAGCCTGGTGTTGCAAGCTTAGTTTTGTGTTGAGCAAAAGTTAGGCAACCTGAAGGCATTGTGGTCTGGCGGAAAAACAAAGGCTTCAGTGTAAGGATGTAAACTAGCTTTTGCTAATAATCTTGTAATTAATGTGTGTCATTGGGTAAGTTACTTCATTCTGACCCTCAATTCTCACAGCTACAAAATGGAAATCTATTTACATTTCAGTCATTGTACAGTTTTGCTAAAGATGGCACACGAAATGTTTAGCACAGCACCTGGCATGTTTTCACGTAATGGCTATTGTTACTGTGTTGTAGCTTTGATGACAAGATGGATAGATGGATGGACCAGTCTCCAGTTGTAGCTTTGATTCTCCTATCTGGAAAAATCTTATGAAGATACTGCCTCCTCAAGAAAATGGTTACCAACAATTTCAGGTGATTTATGGATCTCAGGAGCCCACCAGGACCTCAAGTTAAAGGACCCTGAGCTTTAGGCTCTCTGAGAACCTATGTCTCCCAAGTTAAAAGGGACCATAAGCCTGGGGCTGGTGGCTCATACCTATAATCCTAGCTACTCAGGAGGCTGAGATCTGAAGATCACAGGAAAGTCAGTGAGATTCTTATCTCCAATAAACCACTCAGAAAACTGGAAGTGGCACTGTAGCCACTGAAGAGCTGAGGGACAGCTCCCAGATCCAGAATTCAAGCCCCACAACTGACAAAAAAAAAAAAAGACCATAGTCTAGTAACAACAACAGAGAAAAATCTAGTGAATCTAGATGGCTTTGTTTCTTCACTTTGGTGCTGGTTAGGTAAGTTCACTTTGTGCAAATTCATCAAGCTGTTCATAAAGTTTTGCCCCCTAAGAAAGTAGGCATCAAACCTAGGCCATCCCACATGGAAGATCTACCACCAAGCTAGATCCCTAGCCAACACTTAAAAATCTTACAGTTTTCATAATACATTATTATAATACATTATTCAATAAAAATTATATATATGTAGAGTTATACACATGATTTTATATATGTATACATATATGCCTACACACAAATACATGTATGTATGTGTGCATATATATATGTGTGTGTATGTGTATATATGTATGTATATATATATATATATATATATATGCCAGGTGCTGAGTACTAGTGGTTCATACCTGTAATCCTAATCCTAGCTCTTCAGGAGGCTGAGATCTGAGGATCACAGTTTAAAGCCAGCCCAGGTAGGAAAGCAATAAAAAAAAAAAATTAAAAAGCTGGCAATGGAATTTGTGGCTCAAATGGTAGAGTACTGGGTTGGGAAGGTGGCTCAGTGGTAGAGCGCTTGCCTTGCATGTATGAGGCCCTGGGTTCGATTCCTCAGCACCACATAAACAAAAAGAAAAAAGCCAGAAGTGGCACTGTGGCTCAAGTGGTAGAACGCTAGCCTTGAGCTGAAGAGCTGAGGGACAGTGCCCAGGCCCAGAGTTCAGGCTCCATGACCGGACCCGCTCCAAAAAAAAATGGTAGAGCACTAAACTTGAGGGAGAAAAGTACCCAGAGACAGCATCCAAGCTCTGAGTTCAAGCCCCAGGTCCAAAACCAAAATAAATAAATATGGGGGCCAGGTGCCAGTGAGTGACTCATGCTTGTAAACCTAGCTACTCAGACTGAGTTTTGGAGGATGATGGCTCAGTCAACCTGGATAGAAAAGTCCATGAGCAAAAGAAGCTGTCTCAAGTGGCAGGAGTTCAAAACTGATACCATAAAAATAAACAGGCTGGTACTAGTGGTTCATACCTGTAATCCTAGCTTTTCAGGAGGATCCAGGTTCAAAGCCAACCCAGGCAGGAAACTCCATGAGACTCATGTCCAATTAACCACCAGAAAACCAGAAGTGGCATTGTGGCTCAAAGTGGTAGAGTGCTAGCCTTGAGCAAAAAATCTTAGGGACAGTGCCCAGGTCCTGATTCAAGCTCCACAATCAACAACAACAACAAAAAGCTACTGGAGCTCTTGCCTAACTTGCTCAGTGCCTTGGGTTCAAACCCAACACCAGAAAACTAAAATAATAAATAATGGGCTGGGAAGGTGGCTTAGTAGTAGAGTGCTTGCCTAGCATGCATGAATCCCTGGGTTCGATTCCTCAGTACCACATACACAGAAAAAACTGGAAGTGGTGCTGTGGCTCAAGTGGTAGAGTGCTAGCCTTGGGCAAAAGAATCTCAAGGACAGTGCCCAGGCCCTGAGTTCAAGCCCCAGGACTGGCCTCCCCAAAAAAGAATAATACATAAATCTGCATTGGAGCTAGAGACTCTCATGGTGGCAGCTGTTATCAGAGACAGGGGAAAGGACACAAACTGAAATCAGACCATTTACTTTTTCTGTTATTAGCTGTGTACCTTTCTTGAATTCCCTTGACCTTTCAAATCCAGTTTCCTGAATGCTTAAATCCAGGGTGTACCTGATCGGGAGCATTATGACGATACTCTGAAAGGAACTGGCATGTGTAAGGATCTGTAACATACTAGATAAATGTCAGTGCTCTCTGATCTCTGAGGAAGACTACGGAAAGGATTCAGCTGCCTTTACTGCCAATTTGCACTGCTGATAGGTAGGCTTATTTTGATGTTTGTTTGTTTGTTTGTTTTGGTGGTACTAGGGTTTAAACTTAGGGCTTTGCATTTGCTAGGCAGGTGCTCTACTGCTTCAATCATGTGCCCAGTCCTTTTACAAAATATGGCCTTGCCTTTTGTCCAGGATTGACCTGGACTGCGATCCTCCTATTTATACTTCCTGCCATAGCTTTAATGACAGGCACATACCATCATGCCCAACTTTTGTTGGCTTTTAAATTTAGCTTACATTTTGTTTTTACCACAACTATTATAGAAATCTTTTACATGCCGTTATTGTAATATCCTGCCATTCTCTCTGCCTTACAGCCCTCCACAAGTATAATTCTCAAATAACAATCTCCTTTGCCCTGTTTTCTTTCCTCTTTATGTTGGCTGGTCTCATGATCGATAGTAAATCAGGTTGTCTACTCTCTTTCCCACACACTTACTTCAGGAATGGCAATGTAGATTTATTAACTGGTTTTATGCATGCATCAAAAGATCTACCAGGGGCTGGGAAGGTGGCTCAGTGGTAGAG